ATCTATGCTCTACTTGGGTTTTTAAACGATTTCCCCAACTTTTCTTTCAAAATTACTTTTAAAATCACTTCTTTTCGATTTAGGGTTTTCTGAAATGCTTATGACTTTTCTTCCCCTTTTCCTTGTGTGTATTTGTTTGCTACTGCTTTCATATGTTTCCTTTTACCACGCATGTTCTTCTGTGCTTCTATATTTTTTGTTTTCCTACTGTGTTTCTATACCATGCTCACATGTTTATCTCACTATGTTTTCCTATATGCTCTTTTGCTATACTTTTCCAGTGTTCTTGTGTTCTCCTACTGTATTTCTTTTACTAAGTTCTTAAGTCTCTTTGTTTGCCTTCCGCTGAACCATGTTGAGTTTCTAAAGAATACCTTCTTAAAACAGGTTTCTTGTACTGCATTCTTAGGTGTTTTAGTATTTCTCTCTTCTTAACCTTGGTTAAGTTCTTCTACTATATCTTCTACTGTGTTTACTGTTTTCTCTTCTACTGAACCCTGTTTAAGTCCCTTCTGAAAGGTTTTTCTTAAACATGTTTCTTCTACTATCATGTTGTTCTCTCATTGTGCTTTGAGTTAGTTCCTTCACTCTGTTTGCTTTGAATTTTCTATTGTATTTGCTTGTCTTCTCATGAGATTCTGATAAAAATCTCTGAGCCTGTTGCCTCCTCATCTCTGTATTTGACTCGAGGTGGAAACCCTAGAATTTGGAGGTTCCGTCGAGTTTGGTCATGTGATTGAACTAGGGTTCTGTTTGAGAACCCTTGACTCTTTCAAACTAATCTCTGAGCCTACAAACTGAGTTTGGACTCCCTTGTTTTCATGTAATTCTGACTTCTCTGGAGTTTTCACTAGCCTTTCAAGGGCATGACAAATTTCTTCATGTTTTAACATGTCTGTATGCCTTTATATGTGATGAATCTTTCTTCAAAAAAGGGTTTTCCAACTTGTGATTGATTCAGAATTCCTTTTAATAAGTCTAATTGATTGTTACTGATTTTCCTTAAGTTAAAATCTTTCCATCTTTCTGACTTGGTTCATTCATACAAAATTTTCGACTTATGATTTCTTGGCTGTCAATTGATTTCCTTTCCTTAAATTGTACAACCGTGTACTGTCAAGACCTTGTCCTTAAATAAACCTCTATGTATTTACCCCTCTTGTACTGCTTTGAAAAGTGTTTGATTAATCTCTTTCCTTAATTAGTTTTACCCGTTTGAAATCAGAATCCCTTAATTAAAGGGAAACCTTGTGTAATTGATTTTCAAACTATTTTCTTACCTATTTCTGCTTGCTTTCTACACTATAAAAAGGGCACGACCCTTTTACACTTTCGACACACACACACTTCAGACTTCACACTTACAATCTCACAAAACTCATACTTGGAGTATTCTTGCTTCTTGTCTGCACTTTGGCTTTACAAGACTACTGCTTTCATTTGCTTGTTTCCTTGAGACTGGTATGTTCTAGTTTTGGTTTCAGCATCATCCCAATGTGTTTACTTACAGCCTTTACATCCATGTCTACTTTACTGTCTATATGGATTTAAATGTCAACTAGCATGTTAATTTCCTTTCATCTGTTTCTGCTGTGAATCACTGCACCCTTGTTTCCCTCTATGTGCTTTGAGTTGTAGTTCAGAACATGGCAACATGTAAGTTATTGTTCATGTTTGGACTTGATCCCTTTGGGGATCCTAACTCCCAAAACAGTGTGTTCTAACCGGCTGATGGGGTGTGCCAGCATTTCCTTTTGCTAGGTATGCCCACTAGCATGTCTTTGCCACTTCCATTTTCCCCTTTTAGAATTCCCTCTCTGCGCTTACACTCACTCTTAGCTTCTAAGTTCTGCCCCCCTCTTGTGAGCCTTGCCTTAGGACCTTGAGTTCCCTCTGAACTTGGACACTTGAGGGCTGGCCCTTCCACACTGCACTATGACTCAATCCTGCAATGTATTTGGGTGTGAGCACTGCCCGGAGTCCATTTGAGGCTCTTAGGGAACTCTGACACATCCCAAACGAGAGAAAGGCTTTGGATCTCGATCTTTGGAGTTGGTTTACTTCATGCTTCAGACAGGAAGTCTGGATCAGGCTCTCCTTGGTTGTAATTTTAATTTTTCTGATGTAGTTTCTTTATTTTATTTTTTGACTTTAATAATTTTGTATTAAACTTCTGGGGTGATTAGTGATAAGGGAAGGGTAACCATGCATGCAAAGGGGTAGATATCATTCTCATAGGGAATTACTACACTTCTGTATTCATGTATCCTACTTACAGCTTTGCACGTCTGCATCCACATAAATATCCTGCTCATAGGATTTTCTGCACTACTGCATCCATGTAGATACCATGTCTATAAGGAATTCTGCATCTCACATGTAGATACCATGTCAATAAAGACTTCTGCATCCATGTAGATACCATGTCTATAAGGAATCCTACATCCCACATATAGATACCATGTCTATAAGGAATTCTACATCTCACATATAGATACCATGTCTATAAGCATCTCACATGTAGATACCATGTCTATAAGGAATTCTGCATTCTCACATATAGATACCATGTCTGTAAGTTAACCAGAAATCCAGATCCTGCATATGTATTGGTCACTAGGCAAACCTGTTTATAGGATTAAAAACTAACAGCATTCAGATATCATGCCCATAGGATTTCTGCACTCTTACTCGCCTGTAAAAA